CCGCGGGGCAGGCGCTGGGCATGGTCGGGGCCTTCGGGCAGAACGTGCTGGTGAACTCTGCTCTGCCCCAGCATCAGCAGCAGATGAAAGGACCCGTGGGACAGGTCTTGTCCAGGCCGCAGGCACCACGACTTCAAAACCTGATGGGGACCGTCCCTCAGGGAACGCAGAACTGGCAGCAGCGAGGCTTGCAAGGTATCCCTGGGAGGACTAGCAGTGACATGGGGCCCTTCAATAACGGCACGGCGTACCCCATGCAGCCTGGGCAGCCACGGCTCTCCAAGCAGCACTTCCCACAGGGGCTCAGTCAGACAGTCGTGGACACGAGTGGAGCAGTGAGAGCCCTGAACCCGGCCCTGGGGAGACAGCTGCTGCAACCACTGCCTGGGCAACAAGGAGCCAGCCAGGCCAGGCCCATGGTGATGCCTGCAATAAGCCAGGGGGTGCCCACGATGCCTGGCTTCGGGCAGCCTCCCACGCAGCAGATGCCGGGTGGTAACTTTGCTCAGAGCAGCCAGGGCCAGGCCTACGAGAGGAACCCCACTCAGGACATGTCTTACAACTACAGTAATGAAGGAGCAGGGGGGTCGTTCTCCGGTCTAGCGGAGGGCACAGACCTTGTGGACTCCATCATGAAGGGCGGACCAGGGGATGAGTGGATACAGGAACTTGATGAGTTGTTTGGAAACCCCCAGTGAAGGGGCTTGTGTAGTCTGGAGCTTTGGCTGTTACGTGTGAAGAAAGAAAAGAGAGAGCTGGATGTTCTCCCCATCCTCAAATTGTTGGGGCTTTGAATTGGTTTGGGGTTATTTTGTTGTCTTTTGCTTTTAATTGTGCAAACTGGGCTGACGTGTAGCCAGCTTTGGAAGGTTGGTGGGATGATGAGAACGTGGGGCATCCCAAGACTTCCACCGAGCGATCTCTGCTGCGGGGGGCAGGATGGGGAAACTGGAAAAGCCAGGTGGTGCCTCTGGTTGGGAAAATTTGGTCTTTCCCCACTGAATCGAGGCGTCGTTGCACAGTGGTGTGGGGTGGAGCCGACGCCTCTCCCCTCCTGTGAACCCTGCACCTCTCAGGGGAGCAGATGAGAGCAGCCGGGAGCAGAGCCTGGAGGTGCCCGTGGGCGATTGCACAGGCCCTGGTCAGAAGCAGGCTCACCCCGGGGTGAGCAGGTCCAGGTGAGCCATGGCCAGCCCTGCAGGGACAGCTCTGGGCTGTCACAAGGGGACGTGCAGCTTGACAAAGCTGAGTGGTCACAGGGAGATCAGCATTTTCACTGCAGAGCGATAAAAACCCCATGAAAGTGTAGGAGAGTATAAATCTGGCAGAGCAGTGAGGAGAGTTTGATTGTGGGACTGCTGCTGGAGACAGCTTAGGTGGGTGGGTTAACTTGGGGAGCCCCTTTGGGACCTGCAGCAGCACACTCTGACCTGTGCTGGCTGCCTGGGGGTGCAGAACAGCAGCTACAAATGGTGTTGAGACGCTGAGAGGTGCCAGGAGACATCGGCGTAGGTCCTAAGTGGGGCTCTCTCCCCTTCCTCCCCACTGTGTTTTCAATTCAATTCCCTCCCCTCCTGTCTTTCTGTGTAAAGCAAGGTGAGCTGGCTGCACTTTTTTTCAGGTGAGCAACAGCTCAGGCAGGGGAGGAGAAGACACGTGTGAGAAAACGTACAGGGAGGGTTTGGCACAGGGAATGAGTTTCTCCTCTCCCCTGGAGAAGTGCAGGTTTGGCAGGTAGCCTTACCCTGGGCTCTCAGTGTGAGGTTATATGCAGTCTGAGGCAGAGGTAAGCTGTCCTCTGAAGCCTGTCACCTTCTCACTGTTTTCTGCTGAGAGCTGCTTACCAGGTTTTATAGTGGTGCATAAAAATGTTAACGTGGCCCACAGTCCAGAGCTTGGGAACCTCTGGCCTAGCGCTGGCCTCTGAGCCATGGGGTGTGCTCTGCAGTGGGAGTGGCTCTGCTGCACAGCTGCCCAGCTGCTGGTTCCTCCTCGTGGGCTGCTCTCCTTGGGCCTGGCAGGCAAGGTGCCCACAGGAGACAGGGGGTTTGGCATTTCAGGTCCTGCCTTCCCCTCTGGAGCACAGCTCTGCCGAAGGGGTGGGCCTGGAGCCCCCCCAGTGCCCCGTTACCCTTCCCTTTTGCACAAGAACCCCTCACAGGGCTCACCTAGACAGGGGGAGGCATCTGTGTCAAATCACAGAGTGGCAGGGGTTGGAAGGGACCTCTGGAGGTGATCTAGTCCAACCCCCCTGCTAAAGCAGGGTCACTTAGAGCAGGCTGCACCAGATGGTGTCCAGGTGGGTCCAGAGAAGGAGACTCCACAAATGCTGTAACATGGGCAGGACAAGCTGCAGTTTTACCATGGATGTGGTCATGGTGAGCTATCAATCCAGCTTGCCCTGACTGCTAACGTATCTTTGTTAAAACACTTTAGTTACAGCCCTTTTATGGAGCCCTTTCTGACATACAGCTCAAGGGCCTGCCCCAGTTGCTGCTGAAGACAGGAGCCACCTGCCCACGGAGCTGGGCAAGGGGGTTTAGAAATGCAAGTCCCACACGTGTCGGGGCTCTGGGGAGGAGATGAGGGGGAGGCTGAGTCTCTGCTGTCTTTGCAAAGCTTCCTCCAAATACTCCCTACTGGGACCAAGAACTAGAGAGGTAGATTTTATTAGATTTGGGGTTGGTTTGGTTTTTTTTTGTTTTGTTTTGTTTTCTTTCTTACTATGGTGCTGATGTATATGTAATGTTTAAAAAAAAAAAAAGTTATTTGTAAATATGTTTTTACAATTCTACAGATATCACTGGGTCTACTATCTGTAAAATATATACATATAAAAATATATATAT